GGGGGGGGGGGGGGGGGGTGTCAATACAAACGCGGCATGGACGATATCGTCACTCGAACGTGAATCCCGACTATCGCAGCGATAGTAGGCCATGTTCGCGTGAACACCACCATGCTGATGACCCGCTGGTACTGGTACCTGACGCCTGAGGCGAACCGCTAACGGTGGTGAACGCGTACACAAGCTACGTGCCGTTGCTTGTATGCTTGTGCACAACTCCTCCGCCCGAGTTCCCTATCGACTAATGACAATCAAATAGGGACGGGGGGCACATTAAGGGGAGTCATTGACCTCGTGCATCTCTTGTTACTTTTGGGCCATCACCCGCGAACGCTGTGAAAGGCACGAACAAACGTGAGGAAATGTGTCACGCAAGGTTACCACCAACCCAGGTCAGCTGCGGGGATGCCTCCCGAGTTCTGATATTGAATTGACTCACCCTGTACTTCGGGTAGTCGACAACGTTAGGCGATATGTACCATGCGCTGTTGGCAAGGTACACGTAGTAGTAGTCAGTTCCTCCGGCCATGTAGTAGAGCTCGTCGTAGGAGCTGGTGCCAGCAATCTCCCGGTAGGTTCCGGAAAAGTCTCCTAAGCCTGAGATGGCGATGCTAGTGCACGTCGCTGTATTTTTACGGATTTGGAAACGGATAAACGACGCGCGTGAGGATGAGAGAGAGAAACAACAACAATGACAAGAAACAACGACCTACTTTCCTCGAGCGTCAGCAATGAAGCAGAGGGTAGCGCTGGCAATTTTCTATCGCCAATGGCAATCACAGAATACGACGATGGACACAAAGCGGTAGCGTGCTCTTTTAAGGAGTCGATGCACGGCAACTGAGGAAGGATACAACTAGAGGGAGTGGAAACAATGAATGGGAAACGTGTAACCATGGGGCGCGCCAGCTGGTGCCCCATGTAGCAAAGAAGAAGCGAGGTACTGTATTTAGGTTGCGCGTCCCAAGTTCTGGTCAACGTCCGCTCGGGTCTCACATGCCGTGGTGTTGACGGTATCTGTAGAGGCAACACAGACGACGCACATCGAACGAAAGGGTTGGGTCGCATCCGTTAGCTGCTTTCCCTCTCAGACCTAATCCACGTAGTTACCGTCGCGGCTGGAGGCGGTAAGTACCCGGAAAAAGAGCACCGAAAACTGGGGAGATCATACGGCGCAGCATTATAATGTGAAACGTAAAAAAAGAGAGTACAGCAGTTGCGGCAGAGGTGAGAACCTGGGGATGTCTTGCAGTGCACATGTGATTTGACAGCGCACGCGTGGTGTGGTGTTTGAAGACGATTGGGATTGCCTAGTTCACGTAATATGCAATTTGTCCCGGGGGGTGAGAGGTTGCAGAAACTGGCCTTTCCCTTCGCCATGCACAAAAACATGTAAACTTGGACTTGCGGGAGGCTAACTTGTTTCTGCTGCCCGATACGGCGTGGCCTTCTCGCGACACATGCGTTGAACTTGTCGACTGAAAGTCCTGACTGGCGACGTACAAGGCCCGATCTCACCTGCCGCGCATGTGATGGCCATCGATGTCGCCACTTCGACGTAGTCACAGTAAACGTTATCGCATTCGGCCCAGCTTTGGGTGATGTCCGCAGGATGTGCGGCGTCGTCGTATGTCTGTATTACATAAGAAGCGACGGGGTGCGCAACTCACCATTGAATTATTTCGGAAAGAACGCCGCATCCCAGATTCGTAGCACTATATACATCAAGCATCAAGGGGAGAAACAAGGACGACGGTGAACAGTCTATTGGGGGGTCATTGGCCTTCATGCATCTATCGCTTTTCCACGCATCGCGACTAAATGCTGTGAGGCACAAAACAACCTTGAGGGAATGCATCACACAAGGCCGCTACCAAGCAAGATCAGCCGTAGAGGCGCCTCTCGAATGCTGGCGTGTTGAACTGACTCACCCTGTACTTCGGATAGTCGACAACGTTAGGCGATATGTACCATGCACTGTTGGAAAGGTACACGTAGTAGTAATCGGTCCCTCCGGCCATGTAGAAGAGCTCTTCGTAGGAACTGGTGCCAGCAACCTCCCGGTAGGTTCCGGAATAGCTCCCCAAGTCCGAGACGGCGATGTTAGTGCACGTCGCTGCAGTTTTTACGGATTTAGCAACGGATACACAAGCCGCACGCGGGTGAGAAAGAAACAACCAAGCTACACACCTGGCGCATCAGGGATGGAGTAGACGTCCTGGTAGAGTTTGCTAGGGGCCAACAGACATCGGCGAAGACAACAATGAATACAAGCCAACAGCGTCCACTTCAAAGTGGCTTGCGCACGGCCACGCAGGAACGCTACAGCTATATAGCGGAGGTGTAACCACTCAACGCAAAACCACGGCAAAAGCGTGGGCAACTAAGGTGTGCCGTGGTCGTCGTAGTCATCGCCGAGCTGCACTTAATGCGCCCACGTTCTGGTCAACGTCCACCGGGGTCTCACATGCTATCGTGGAGTTCGTATCTGTAGAGAGCACAGACGACGAACACAACAGAACGGGATGGGTCACGATCGTTTAGCTTTCTTCCCTCTCTCAAAAAAAAACTAGCTACCGTCGGCTTGAGGCGGCCAATGCTCGAAAAATGGAACACGAAACTGGGGCAAGTATACGGCGCAGCAATTAATTGTTCACGAAAACAAAGCACTTGCAGCGGAGGTCAGAACCTGGGAACGCGTTGACAGCGCAAGCGTAAATGATGTGGTATTCAAGGAAATTAGGTTCGTGTAGTTCAACGCCATGTTAGAAGTTGTCCGGGGGAAGAGGGGGGGGAGGCTACGGGAACGTGCGCTTGCCTTCGCCCTGCACAAAATCTTATGGAAACACCCGAGCAAGGTACGTTAACGTACTCCTTCCACCCAATACTGTGCAATCTTCTTGCAACGAGAGTACACATGCCTTTGACACTTCTCGAGCGAAATTTCCCCATTAACAAGTTCAAGACTCAACCTCACCTGTCGCGCACGTGATGGTCATGGTTGTTGTAATTTCTACGTAGTCGCAAAATTGAGCATCGCATTCGCTCCAACTCTGGGTGATGTCCGCGGGATGTGCGGCGTCGTCGTATGTCTGTGATACGGAAGCGACAAAAGGGTGCGTACGTTAGTAGTAACCAATCACAGAACGCGATTTCGGAGTAAATGCGCCATAATCACAGGTTCCTCGAAATATTTACATCAAAGGACAAGAATGAGGGCAAACAACTATTGCGGATCCTTCTGGAACACAAGGAAATTTTTCGACCATGGCTGACGGCACGCACCGTCCGGAAGCTCGGCCAATCAGAAATTAGCGGCACAAGCGTTGGCCAACGATAGCTTGTTCTCCTGATGTGTATGTGGCTTGGACGTATCGCGTGCAGCCGACATGAGGCATACACACCCGAGAGGGTGCATCACAAATAGCCCTGTGTGGCGGTGCGGCTACCCACTACGATATTGAACCGACTCACTCTGTACTTCGGGTAGTCGACCACGTTTGGTTGTATGTACCATGCCCCACCAGAAAGGTACACGTAGTAGTACTCGGACCCTGCGGCCATGTAGTACAGCTCGTCGTAGGAGCTGGTGCCAGCAATCTCCCGGTAGGTTCCGGAAAACTCCCCGAAGTTTGAGATGGTGACGCTAGTGCACGTCGCTGCATATTGACGGGTTTGGCGACGGACAAACAACCCGCGTACGGGTGAGGAAGAAATAACCAACCTACAACGGGCGCATCAGGGATACATCAGAGGGTCCTGCTGGCAGCGTACTAATGGCAATACAGAGGACGACAACCGGCACAAGCCGGCAGCGTGCTCGTTACGGGGGCTCTTGCACGGCAACGCAGGAAAGCTAGTGGAGGTGCTAATGCTGATGGGGATAGCGGGGACAGCTGGCTGCCTTAGCTTACAAATACGAATGAACTGCTGCAAGTTGCGCCCCCAAGTTCTGGTCAACGTCCACCGCAATGGTCTCACATGCGGTCGCCTCGCTGGCAGAACTCGACGAAACTGCAGAGACGGCACAGACGAAACACAACGATGGAACGGTTGGAGACATCGGGTTTGCACCTCCCTCAGCCTGATAAAAACGGGTTCTTTTGCCACTGCAGAGGTGGTGAATAATTGAAATGCGACAGCAATAACTCTCGGGAGTGATCACGGCGGAGGACCATGAAATTCTTTGCGAAACAAACGATTATGACCTGTGGCGGAGGTCAGCTGCTGGAAACGTTAATTTACAGCGCAAACACATGATGATGTTGGAAGGCTTTGTGACGCTAAACGGACATGTGAGAAACGCTATTCTGGGATGGCTGGGTAAAGCGTGCGTTTGCTTTCTCGTCAAGAACAAGAGAAAAAGACCGCGCTTGGGGAAGGATAACGTGCTTCTGCTGCACCCAAAACAGAACGTATCTCCTCACAGCTTGTTGGCGATGTACCACGTGAACGGGCTCAACCCCACCTGCGCACGTGATGGTCACGGCGGTCGACATCTCCACGTAGTCACAAAACTGGCTATCGCATTCGGACCAACCCAGCGTGATGTCGCTGGGGTGTGCAGCCTCATCGTACGTCTGCGGGACACAACACGCAAGGGTATATGTTGAGGGGGGCAGCCCAATGGCTGGCGTATCCTGCCGCATCTCCCTTAACATTTCATAGGAAAAATGAATACAAACACAGAAAGACTACCCTTTCGACATATAACCACAGTCGAAACGGGATTTGTTGGGAGTCTTTGCAGTGAGTGGAGGGATACCGGCTGGGTACTGGGCATGCTTCGAGTCCACCTAAGCCTATATTCTGACATTTTATCAGTGATGCCAGCAGGTGCTAGTCACAAGACATCTCCCCCGTAGTTTTCTCTACCTACTGGGTCAACGACAATAACACCGAGGAGAAACCCTCCGTTGTGTCGTCTGTTGTAACATTCTGCCTTCATAGAACTACGTCACTGCGCACACATTTCCTCTCGGCCACGACAACAAGAACGGGTCCACCGGAGGTGGGAGCGCGAGAGTGAATCGAGCCGGACTCGCGAACAACCTGCCATGGGATTGACAAGCTGGCGACACGCGGCCAAACCAAGCCATCGTCATAATTTTAACAATAAATAATATGTCTTGGTCTTTGTATGGCATAATCCAGATGGGTGCGAAATCCCGATATCGGAAAGGAAAACTCCAACAAAATCAATTCGTTCTGTGTAGCTTTTTCGAAGGCACCTCACCACGGGTGCGGCAAGTCCAAGATTGGTAGGTGCGATGCAGAGTCAACCACAGCCGCCCTACTGTTGCTACGTACGGCTCGAAAGGTCGCATCATGAGGGTATTTCACCGCGAGGCTGATTTCACGACCGCTTCAAACATTAACAGAACCTTCCGTGTTTTCACGCACGTCAGGAGATTCAAACCAGGCAGCCCAACCAAGGCTGACTTCGTCAACAGCTAGAAGAACACCAACCCCCCCTTGATGCTCACCCGATACCGAGGATAGTCTGCGATGGCGGGAACGATGAACCATGCGCCATCGGACATGTACAGCTCGTGGTAGTCGACTCCGGCGGCGTAGTAGTAGGAGGTGGAGGAAAGCTGCCTGTATGTTCCCGATGACAGTCCGACGCCCGAGACGGTCACGCTTGTGCATGCAGCTAGAGCAGCACGGGTCCGGGGAAAAGAAACGTAAAAAGTAAGCAAGAAGATCAGGGTTTCGTTTCGTTTTCGCGCATCTGCACGTGGTGCGCTTCTCTCCAGGACTAATCCCAGACTCTCGAGAAAGGGCTGTGAAGCAAAGGTGGCTTTGTTAGATAGAGATTAGTGGAAGGATCCACCGATCAGGTATTTTTCTTGATCCATTTTTCTGGTCCTTCGTAAAAACCGCGAGCCTCCGTCTCGAGAATTAAAAAAAATCTCAACTGCGGGTGCCGTGCTGTACTTCAGCAAGGTGGCAAAAGGAAGCAGAGCAGAAATATGTGTTGCTACACCAAGCAGGAAGACAGACGATCGACGCGGATATTAATTTCCCAATAACTATCAGGACAGTTGGTGCTCGAGTCAGGGTGAACTTCTTGCATAGCGATCGCTACTCGCTTTCGGCTACCATCCGGCCGGAATGAACCAGACTGTCCCCATCTGCCGCTATTCCCCTTGAATGCCCCCCCCACCCCCGGTTGTGGCCGGAAAACCTGGGCAAGGGTTGGCATATCATACCTCCGCGTGCTTGCCCCCCACCCATTGGTTGGGTAACTCGACACTCGATACGGATCTACAGAGATTCTAGGGGATACGTGGATGCGTCGGGTGTGGTGATGGGGCAAATTGGACCCCGTGGCCACCGGCAGGATTTCCTCGTTCTCTCACTCCCAACAATACGTCGAAGGGGTCAGTCTTTGCTCTGCGCTTCTGCCAACAAGCTGTCCCCCTCCAAACACCAGACCTGCCTCCAGTAAGAGTAAGTGAAGGAAACCGAGTTCTCGATAGCCGGGCCGGAATCTCTCGGTAATACAATGCAGTTGTGTGCGTTGGCTATGGCGTCGGAGATGACTCCACAGTTTCACCTCGCTCATGGAAGGTAGACGTGAGAGTGGCAGTTTACCCCCGAGAAATCCCGTCAACACGAACAATAAGCTCTTGGTTCGAAGATCGGGCAGAACCAAGAGAGCGTCAATGACTGCTGATTTTCTTACGAACATAGCGTTAAAGCCACCATCCGTTATACTTGTCCATCCATGAGCGCACCTACACTACACTCTGATGTTGTCAAATTCCTCGCATCTGTTTCTCAAATGACAAGGCAGTCTCCGTAGTGGAGACCCTCGAGACCCGATGTACTGATGATTAGTTGCAGAGGGTCGTGTGAAAGTTTTCGGAATTAGCAGGGGGGGATTCTGATCCCCCTCCTTCGTCTCGATCAACCAGGGATCACAAAAGTCATCGTCCTCCTCCCGGGCTCCTGGTCATTCGGTAATCTCACAACCTTCTACGTTCGGGACGTGGGCTCGAATCTCGGCCGAGTCACGCGAACTGGGACTTTTCAACTCTTTCCTTCTTCCCCTCGCTGCCTCGGCAAAAGGCTTTTGCTTAGGCATGGCCCATAGCGAGGGGGGGGGGGTCTTTCTAGCGAGCATGGCTAGACTCAACCCTCAAGGGACCGGTACCTTCTTGCTGCGGCGCACCCGCCGCGAGGCGTGCGTAGTGGTAGAGTTGGATCGGCACTGGTGCGTCAGGTACAAAGAGGCAGGTGCGCGGGCCTCATGGCCGTCGGTGTAGACAGCAATGTCCATCTCAGTGTTGTGCGCGGAGGCAGACGTCATCAGCAAGGTGGACCGGCACTATGTACACGGCCCTAGGTTTGCCAGAGGGATCTGTACTATCTCAGTAACTGGCTTCGCCATCAAAGGGGAGGAGGGAACAGGTGGTGACGAGCTGAGTGGGCTGGTTGACCCTTGGGCGCGAGAATTTTCAGACCAAGAACATTAAGTGCACCGAGGGAGAAAGCGAAGAACCGACTAGGAAGAACAGCAACGAGCATGTACGGACGGAGCAGGTCGAGTTTGGTCGTGCTAGGACTGGCCGCAGCGACACCGGAGCAGCGACACCGGAGCAGCGGCACCGGCGCAGGCGGACGACATCGAACCGTGACGCACGAACGAACATTTTGTGTTGTCAATTATTTTTCCGTTTTTTTCTTGATTACAGGTGTTGGGTGTATTTTTTTTGTTTGTTTTTCTCCCATCATTGGACTCTGTCGTCTGTCCCTCTAGCCCCTATCCTCCACTTCTACCAGCTAGACGACCCAACCGGGGTCACATAGGTGGGGGGGGCTGGACCCCCTCCTGCGGTTCATTCCTGAGGTATTTTTATCGCGAGAAGGGTACAGCAATCCCTTCCCTCGCGACTTGCGAAGTCGATTATGGTTTACTAACAAACGAGCTTTGCAGCGCGTCGCTTTCATCCTAGACCAGGATTTATTTGTGAGAAAAAACTCACTCTACCGGGACTCGAACCCATGACCTGGCCCTTGGCTGGCTGCGAAGTTACCCACTAGACCACCGGGGCGACCGGAGTGTGATGATGTCACTGGTTTTGTAAAGAGACGCGGCAGAGATGGCGCGGATAACCCGGGTGCCTTTATTGTGTACCTGCATCGTGGAAGCCCCCTTCAATGTGGAACGATTCCTAGTCAGTGTCGATATTTTACACTACTGTGTCCAACACAGATGATCGGGGGTAGATTCGGTGATTGGCAATTTCAATGGTGTCTTTGGTTGGTTGTTCTTTTTTACCGCATGTCTACGGACGCATCCCGACAGANGACCTGGCCCTTGGCTGGCTGCGAAGTTACCCACTAGACCACCGGGGCGACCGGAGTGTGATGATGTCACTGGTTTTGTAAAGAGACGCGGCAGAGATGGCGCGGATAACCCGGGTGCCTTTATTGTGTACCTGCATCGTGGAAGCCCCCTTCAATGTGGAACGATTCCTAGTCAGTGTCGATATTTTACACTACTGTGTCCAACACAGATGATCGGGGGTAGATTCGGTGATTGGCAATTTCAATGGTGTCTTTGGTTGGTTGTTCTTTTTTACCGCATGTCTACGGACGCATCCCGACAGAACTTCAGACAGCAGTTGCGCGCCCCGAACTTGTACCATGCCTACCATGGTGTTGTTGTACAGGCAGCACTCCAGAAAGCTGTACGCTTGAGGTCGACAAACCTTCATTTTGGGAAAGTGTGGGACCGGAGGGATGATATTGCTGTAGCCGAATGTATTGTGTGCAGTGGTAGTTCAGTTTTTGGGCACGCAAACGTGCTGCAGGGATTGCAGGTGTACCTCCTCGGGCAAGTGTACCCTTTTCTTGCTAAGTGTGCGTGTTTAGATCTTCTGATGGCTTTAGCATTTTTGTGACCACAGACCGCGTCTTTGCTAGATTTTGGGAATCGCAACTGACACGAGTTTAATGTAAAGGCAACAACAACATCAACATTCTGCCCAAATATCCGTACAGTAGCAGCTACGGATTAACATAACATGTTCCAACAGATAGTCCGGGTGTAACAGAGGTGAACTGACTTGGCACGGCCAACATCGGTTGAACAGAATTTTTTTCTAATGATGAATTTTTCTGTTATATCGAGCTTCTGGAGGCCGCGCCACGTATGGGAGTGGTTCGCCTAGTAGGTGATTGGGTAGATTTTCTCTTGATGCTGGAGCATCCGTGGGCTCGTTTAGTAGTTCCACAAGAGCTGCGAGTAGCAGCACATCTATGACAAGGCAAAATAACACTGCAGAGGTCTGACGCGTGATTTGTTTCCCAACACTTTCTCCTAAGGGCGCCATTTAGTTCCCAACACTTTCCACCAAGAGCGTGCAACTGGTCCATATTGCTCGCCAACCAACAAAAGCGGCGTGTAGAGCTCGCCTAGGGGCGGGCGCTACCTGCGTCATGTGACATGAATGATATACGCTCTCCATCAATTCTTTCGGCACATACTGCTGTTGTTGGGACGACTGGGTCCATGTTTCACGGTCTTTCGAATTAAACCACGGTATAACATAATATTATGTTAAACCGTAGCCAAAACGGTTGAACAGAAGTACCGCTTGACAGAGGGATTTGGGCTTGTCACGACCCTATCTATGTTAAACCGTAGCCGCTACTGTATTGTGAAGAGGCATTTGATTCGTTCAATGTACCCCTCCGTGCGTTTTGACGTCACAACAGTCGACGAAAGAAAGGGTTCCTTAAACGTCTGAATATCTGACAGGGGACCATCGTAAAGGCAGCCGCAGAAGGACGTGAGGCAGAATGATACATCCACCAGAAAAAATACAGAAAGGGGGTACAACTGATGCCATGACACAAAATAACCTAAACTCTCACGGGTATCTGAGAGGGCGTCCGTCGTCTTGTCTGTGGTCCCTTCCTATCCTTCTCGACGGCTCTCCACATCATCATCCATTCCGTCCTTGATTTCATGTATATATGCGGAACGGCGCCACACATTTACATGATGACTGAGAATGCAGGTCATTTTAGACTCTTCCGGACTCAACATTTTTCCGAAGGAAATACATGTTGATTTAAGCCATCGTTCTGAGGATCGTTTCTGACAGTCTCGCCAGGACCCACGATAAGGAAAAAATAATCAGATTTAACAGCGGAGGGAGGATCGTTTTGTGGAGATTGTTGACGATTTTCCGACTAGCAGCATTCTTCGATTCAACACATCAGGCACCACACCCACGCACACACAGCAGTCCGCGCGGCCAAAGAGAAGGCCAGCGCCCGACGATAAGGCCCTGCAGTTGGCGCGGCACCAACAAGAGGGAGGCTGCACGGTCAGAAAGCCAAGTTGGGCTTTTTTGCACGGCTCTAGGTCAGCAACACCCGCCCGTCACTCACACAGGTTGAGGCAAGGGGGAAGAGGAGAGCGAGCACCGGAACCGCGGAGACAGCGACAACCGGTGACGTAGAGGTGGTGACAGCACCACCAGCAAAGAGGAGCGCACAGCCAGGAGGAAGAGCACGCAATTGGCCTCCTGGTGTAGACGGGCGCGTCTTACCCGCGCAAGGTTATTCTCTGCTGGTTCTCTGCTAGCATGGAGAGAGAATGTGACTTGATGTGACCCCGTCCCAATAACAACCTCTTCTTCCCCGAACGCTTGAAATGCGACACTGCAATTCGTGCAGAGGCTGCCGGCAAGTACAATCACTCCCTCCCTGTCTACGTCCTGGTGCGATTTCGTGTGGTGGGGTTGAGGGGGGCGGCACAGAAGACACGCACACGCAATACATGCACGCACACTCAACAGCAGAGCAGTGAGAGAGAGCGGTGTCAGCAGGGTGCAGCTGTCACGCAGCGCACCACAATAAAAGCAGCACCACCTGCGGTCAGGGGAAGTTCGTTGGGTGGGAGAGGAGAAGAACTGTTGCCCCTCAGCCAATCATTCGAAGCGGCATAAATCTAACAATATTTGCCTGCAGCAAGTTTCCAGGAAAGTTTCTAAAATTCAACTATGCTTCCTTAGATGGAAAAAATTGGAGCCCCAGTCCGAATTTGTGTACTGTTCGATTCTTAGGAAATTGATGCTGGTGCGACACGACGTGTCAGTGAGGGAAGAGCGATCTTACACATACCACCTTTCACTTTGGATGCGAACATCTGAGCGTGTAGAGTGCACCCACGCACAGCCACCACCTCTCTCCCTCTCACACGCGCACACACCCAGGAATTCAGTGATGCGGTGCAATACCGGGAATTTCCGTCAGTAAAGAAATTGAGAATATATGGAACACAACATACCCCGATTGGACTTCTTGTTCAGATGGGGGGGGGCGTCAGAAATTCCGCTGTACCATCTGGGGCGGCAGTGGGGGTTCTCTCTTTTCAATAGACACCTGCCGTAGCGTACGTGTATGTTTCCCGTCTCGTAAACGACCAAAGGATAAAATTTCGCAGTTGGTTGAAGGAAGACCACCGGCTATCATTGCGCCCCATTCGGAACACATTCTGATGTGCAGCAACCAAGATTGCTCTTGTTAATTAGGACCTGTTTTAACGTTAAAATTTTGCACCCATATTGAGGCCCTGCAAAAAATGAGTTTCGGGGGGGGTGGCGGGGGCCAAAGACGCTGATTGGTCGACAGGAAAAAACACAACGAGGCTTTATCTGCCCGGAAAAGCGGGACTTCAATATTGGGTGCAGCAAAAAACAAGTGAATATTGAATTGTTTTTTGCTGAATCGACGTACCCGAGTTGCACTGCGCCCCTTTTGCACCCCCCGTGATGAGCTGAACTCGTGCTGGCGTACCCCTGACGGAACTGCATGTGCCACACTGGCCGTGCGGGACCCACACGCATCGCCCACTGCCCGCTGCTGGGAGATAGCTGTATTGCAATGAATCTGTGAGCGTGCCGACTTTCGCGCTGGTTGGGTTGCTGGGGAAGTTGCTTTCCAATATGTGCGATGTCAAAAGTCAACGGCCGGTTGTGTGCAGCGAGACAGTCCAAACAACAACTGTGCAGTCGTAGAGCAAGCCTGAGGAGGAGGTTTGGACCGCTGTCACCATCTGCTGATGCATAGCTTCGTATTTGTGCTTTACAGCTCCCGTGTGGTGCACATGGTCTATCGCTCTACAGTGGGGGCTACGGTTGAGAGCTCAGTTTAAGAGAATTGCCGATTTAAGAGAGGTCAAAATTGCAAGACACACCCCTCTCTTAAACCGAACCCCGAATCTCTTAAACCTCTCCTAAACCTCTCGTAAACCGAACCTGCCCCCCCATCCCTTACCCCCTATAGCCCACCAGCTGCCCCCCCACTGCAGCAGCTCAAGCAGCTGCACAGCAGTAGGCCATCATCGCTCGCGAGACACACAGCTCCCACGGATGCCTTGCGCCGCGGGTTCCCGCTGCCTGGCAACGCCGGACCACACACCCGCCCCCCCACTGTTTACGAACCACCCATGCCGTGTCTGCGGAGGCTACCTTCATGGACTGTGCGGTGTGCATGACCCGCTTGGCGACAACGAGATGCACCGTGTTTGCCACGAATGTGAACTCGAGCAACCGCAAGGAATCAAGCACAGACTCGACTGCTGGAGCTGCATCTTCGAAGCCCCCCTGCCCGGACGGGCGGGCAACGGGGAAGGAGAAGCGAGCGGGTGCACTGGGCAGCTTGAAACCCGTTGGCAACACCGCACGTTGGAAAGTTCGTAGCGCCGAAAACCGCAACGACCGACGCTCGAAGACAAGGTTCGGGCGCTCGACCTTGTGAAGAGCATGAGCGGCGTAGCAATCGCGAAGGATATGGGGATCGGGGTGAGCACCTTGTACGGGTGGAGAGCTAAGGAAGCAGACATCAGACAACAGGCAGCAGTCTCCATGCCCGGCGCCAAGTCTACGAAGGGGGCTGAGTTTGCGAAGGTGGGTGCTCAGCTGTGTTTGCTGTACAGCAGCACACAGCAGAGTACAACAGCAATTCCGAGTGTATTTTGATTTTGTTTTTTGAATTTTGAATTTTCTTGTTTAAGCAGGGGTCGTGTACAGCAGCAGCAGTAGATTAATTCCGAGTATGTTTGTGGCCGTTTTTGTTCAGCAACCGGCTAGTGTGGCGTAGGTACGCTGTATCATGCCGTGCAGTATTTGCTGTAGGATGAAATGATATACAGCATAGCAGTAACAGCAGTGCACACACTACAGCTGCTAAATCCGTGAATAATATATGTCCTCTTTTCTCCAGGTGGATCAAGCAGTCATGGAAATGTTGGTGCAGGCGAGGGCACTGAGAATGCCTGTCGACCGGGACGCGATCCATTCGGGCGCAAAGCTCGTCGTGCTCTCAGAACGCAGCATTTACGGACGCCGAGCGTGTGCAGCACAGCGGCTTCAACCCGTCCGAGGGGTGGGTAGAGAAGTTTGTCAAGCGCAACGACCTGCACTCCCGTACACTTCACGGCGAAGCAGGTCGCCTCAGAGTAATCCGCGAGACGTGCGCTCAGTATGTCCCAGAATGCGTCTACAACGCCGACGAAACCGGGCTGTGCTACAGGATCATGCCCAAGGCTACATACCTCGCACCATCAGAGCTCAAGAAGACCGTGCGAGGCGTGAAAGGTATGAGAGCGAAGGATCGAGTCACCGCCTACATGGCTACGAGCGCCAGCGGGCGTAAGGTGCCGCTGTCTTTAATCGGCACAGCCAAGTAGCCCCGGTGCTTCAAGATCCGGGGCTCACCCATCAAGTACTTCAGCCAGAAGAACGCGTGGTCGGTTGCGCGAGTGTTCAAGCTGTGGTGGTCGCAAGTGTTCCTGCCGCACGTGCGCTCCGTCACCAGCGAANACCGCCTACATGGCTACGAGCGCCAGCGGGCGTAAGGTGCCGCTGTCTTTAATCGGCACAGCCAAGTAGCCCCGGTGCTTCAAGATCCGGGGCTCACCCATCAAGTACTTCAGCCAGAAGAACGCGTGGTCGGTTGCGCGAGTGTTCAAGCTGTGGTGGTCGCAAGTGTTCCTGCCGCACGTGCGCTCCGTCACCAGCGAAAAGGTTCTTCTCATCATGGACAACCACAGCAGCCACGCCGACCTCGTAGACCCCAAGGAGCAGTTGAAGATTCTTGAGCTGCCACCCAACTGCACGAGAAAGCACCAGCCCAGGGATGCCGGGATCATCGCAGCCTGGAAAGTGCGGTACAGGACGAAGCTGCTGGGGATTCGCGTCGACACGATGACGTCGGCGGCTCAGCTACGGGAGCAGGCGAAGGAACGCAAGGTGATTCGGGGCTGCATGGGGCTCGCGGAAAGAGCGCAGCCTCACATCCTGGACGCAGCTGAGCTAGGCCTCGAGGCGTGGAAGGAAGCTTTGCCGGAGACAATCAAGAGGTGTGTCCGTGTGGTGGTGTTCACGACATTATTCAATAACTGCTGTATCATTTCCCCCCTCTAGACACATACCGTTACCACGTATATTGCACGTTGACGAAATTGTTAACTGGCGCCATCATCTTGCAAGTTTTGTTTGAATTGAACAAATGATAAAATGCTTTTTTTCGTTCGGCTCGTTCTGTTTTTTTTTTTTCTCGCCCTGCACGTTTCTCTCCCCTTACCGCGTACTTTGACTATTCGTCGTTTCCAAGGTGCTGGAGGAAATTTGACATCCTTCCTCCTGCGGTGAACGCGGACCTCGACCAGGACGTGGGAAAGAATATCCGTAACAAGAAGGAGAGTCTCCAAGAGTTGACGGACTTGGTGCAGCGTCTTTCTCTTGAGGCGAAGAAGACAGCTGTCCATGAAGACCTTGGCGAGGCGCTTAAGGGTCTGGGGTTGGCACCTGGCGCAGCGCCAACCCGGGCTTCCATGGAAGCCGCGCAGACATGGTTGCGTGTAGAGGAAAAAGAGGGTGTAGCGGAGGCGATTATTGCAGATCTGAAGGACGATCTTTGTGAGGAGTCGCTTGCCCACCTGAACATGGACCAACTGAACATAGACTCGGACGACGACGAGGCCGACTCTTTGGCGGGAGACGAGGGACAGTGTACGCAGCCCCTGGTCTCTCCTCGTCCGCCACCGTACGCTGACGTATCTAGGCAGTTCGGAGACCTCGAAGAAATAGCAGAGAGGTGCAGCATGGCCGGGGTAGCTTACCATCTTCGCAAGGCGAAGATAGCCTGGATGAGCGAGGCTGGGTCAAAGAAAACGAAGCAAACATGCATGGCAGACTCCATGTAAAGTTGCAGAAGCTGCCCGCAGGCGATATTCATGGACGTCTTTCTTTTTTTTTTAAGGGGTGTGCTACTTGTACTGCTGTCGGTGCTTGAGTNCGTTGGTTTCTTGGGTTTGTGTTATTTGTACGGCGAGTGATGTTTTGATATTGTGAAGCTCTTTTTTTTCGTTGACTTGTGTTTTTGTCGGGGGTTTAAATCGATGGGATGAGAGGTATGAGGGTGTTATGTTGAGGATACGGTGGGAGGAAGGGGTGCATTGTGTAAACGGGTGCGTCGTTCTTGAGTGCTGGTGCATTCGTTGCCTCGTGTTGTCCTTCTAGAAGAGGTGCGACTATGAAACACAGCTATAAAACAACTCAACCAAAAACCTTTTACGTGTCCACGTGCAAAATGTGCATCGCATCACACAACGATGATTTATTTTCCGAACGCAGATCCACCAAAAGCGTACCACGTACAGCAGTACTTGGGTCCACGTGCTTGCCAACCAAGAGAATGAGCGGTGTTTGGAGGTAGCCCGACGTGGTAACGCTAGCTGCTAAGTGACATGCATGATACGCTCTCTTCATGACCTATTTTGGCATTCGAGTGTAGTCAGTGCGCGAGAGTCCCTGTTTCACGACCTTTAGTTTTGTCTACGATATAAGAGAATATTCTCTTATAGTGAGATACTGTTCAAGAGAATTCTCTCTTATACCGTAGCCAACACGATATAACAGAAAGCCGGATTTAAGAGAGTGAAATTGGCTTGTACCGACCCTCTCTTAAACCGTAGCCGCAACTGTAATCGTAAATCGAACGTACGGTTTAAGAGAATTCCTCTCTAAAAACCGTATTAAGAGAAGGTCGTGATTAAGAGAGGTCTTCGGGGTGATGCACACCTCTCTCTTAAACCGTAGCCCCCCACTGTACCTGGTTGGAACACCACGTCACCTTGCAGCGATGATTCCGCCGCATTTGGGTGTTGCGGTGTTGCAAAAATTCGTTATACACGACGCAAGCCCGTTTTGGACGAAAACCCAAATTGGTTCATCTAATTTAGGAATTCAATTTAGCTAGGTCACCAAAATAAACGTTAATACAAGGTCTGCACACGGCCTTAATCACAGGGGAGATACCAGGGGAAATGCAGACACACAGGTAGGGCCCGCTAATACTATCAATTCTTTGCGAATTTAGCCTGGACTCATCTGGATGTGGATGGTGATGAATCGATTCGTCGTGGTTTGTAGGGGCCAAAAAGAATACTTCGGTAGGATGCAGAGCCGTGGGTACGCGTCGGGGGCGCCAGCACTGCTGGACACGTAGAATGTCGATGTTGAGGGAGGATGCACAAAAAGCTTACATACCATTCAAGTCTAGTCTAGCGACGTACTTGTAGACTGTACAGGAATGGTTTTCACCCACGCTTGTTCTGTTGGCGAATGCCTCAAACAGCATAATAGCATCACTAACAGAGTTGTTGAAGACACGCATTGTGTGCACGCATTGTGTGCTCTTACCCAAGAGGCAAGAGTTGATGCGGACATCGATGTCTATAATCAGAACCAATAACAACGTGATGAATTCACGCCCGCAACGCCGGAACGACACACCCTGTACACCCTGTGAGCTTCGCACACCACAGCACACATTATGCAACCTGACGGAATGGAAGACGACGACCATGCACTGCTTTCGGGACGCTGCTGTTCACACGACTTGTCGGTAGGATCATCACGGAAAAAGCCCTTTCTGTAGCTACCTTTCTGCTGTACACCGCACCCACCGCCGCCGCCTTGATTCGCGTGAAGCTAAGGGACGCGCCGTTCGCGTGAAAATTCGAACCCAAGCACTTGGTCGGACATCACGTTCGCTGTAAGGAATGCTTGATCACCAAAGCAACACCGTACACGAAGAGTCCAGCACGTCTCTCCTTTTCTCCGCAGAGCTCGCGGTGGTAAGTCACCCTACCGTCCAAGGACACTCTCGAACACCCGTGGCCCTGCTGTTATGGCTCACCGTCGAACATGCCGACCACTCGATCTCACTGCTGCATATTTATAGAAGAGGAAATCACGTCTGACAACTCACATGAAGAACTGGTACCCGACACACGCAGCAGCTGGTGGCCTGCCACCAGCAACATCGATCTCCAACCAAGAGCCCGCATGCTGCTCCTCCAAGCCATATTGATTGAGCATCCACCTCGGGCAGGTCGCCTGCTGGGAATCTCGCTCAAAGCTCTGTTGAGGTATCCCATCGAGCGAACGGGCTATTTGTTTGGCCGATCGCCCTCGTGCGATGGTAGCCTTGGGAAAATTCCAGCAATGATCAGTTCGCATAATTTTCGGCCAATCCAGGCCACAAAAGATGAGGCAGTAGCATCGCAGCATCGCATAGCAGCCGTCCCTTCCTGCCTACTGCTGTACTACCAGTACAGGTCTCTCTGTGTCTGTGCGCTTGTTGTGCTTGCTGCGTGATCGTGGAACGGCAAGGTGCGAGAGGCGCAGGAAAATGCCTTCCTTAGAGAAGATGGAATTGATGAAGAAGCACGGAACACAGGTAGCTTTCTCTGGCGCTGTGCATATAGTCCGTGCACAGGTGGTTGTTCCGAAATCTGAAAGTACCGGAAAACGCCGTGTTTCCGCCATCCGTATGTGGACACAAGTGGGTACAATTTGGACAAATGTGGGTCAAAATATAGACACCAGTGGGTACATGAAAAAATTAGTTGACGCCGGTGGGTGTACCCACTGCGATGTCGGACAGAAGTGGGCACTCTGTTGAGGCCTTGCGCGCGTCGGCGGCATTAGGGCCGAAGGTGTGCCTGAAAGTGGGAAAAACTCGATACCCGTGCTGTGCATGGTCCCTGGCTGTGTCGCCCAGGTGTCGGAATGGGGTTTTGAGTCGTTTGGGGGCCGCCTATGGAGTGCGCGCGCGCTGGATTTTCGAGTACCCACTTTTGTCCGAGAATGGCATGGGTATACCCACTTGTGTCCATTTCCCTATTTTTTTTTTTGTGTGTGTGTGTGGTGCGTGTGTGTGTTGTTGCTGTATGCGCGACCGGTTGGTTCTGTTGTCCGTTGTGTGTCACGCATTTTTTTGTGGTGTTTGCCGTTAGTGCGCTGCTTGCCGGGCTTGCGGCGGTCATCTTCCCGTGCCTCCCGTGCCGTACCAAAGTGGCCTGGCATGTTTCTGACATGTTCTTCCGCGGCCGGTCCGCAGTAGGCAGCCATGAATAGGAAAAATGCCACGGATGCGATGTCGGGAAGTTCTGAGACGTTCTGAGGCTATTCGATGTTCTGCCGTTCGGTGACGTGGAGGTCGATTTCCGCTCGATTTTTGCCGTCCGTAACTGGACACAAATGGGTGCAATTTGGACAAAGTGGGTCGAAATGCATAGTCTATGTGGGATGGGGGTTGCCTTGGGCGTGCGCGCGCGCTGAATTTTCGAGTACCCACTTTTGTCCAAGAATGGCGGGGTATATCGACTTTTTATGTCCATATCCCTATTTAGTTCACACGTGTGCCTAGCGACCATCAACAGCCAGCGTGCAGAATAAATAGCAAACCCTTCGGCGTTGGGTTGCTGGGAGCCCTTGATGGGAGCGATACGTCAAGAACTTAGGTCGCACTCGCCGAGCACGTCGTCTGGGGGTTGATCCACACCCACTCCCCAATAATCTGCCTCAGGAATCCAGGTGTAAACTGAAAGAAACCGCCTTATTAGTAAATGAATTCATACGGTCCGTGCACAACAATTTGTCCAATTACGTTTTTTGCGATAGATAACTTCTTTTCGAGAAAGAATGGGAACGTGAAACAACGATAGTCGTGACCGCCTCGTCGAGATACGTCGATAGCTGCAGAGTTTTTTATGCAATTTTTTTGGCGAAAATCATCCACAGAGCCCCATAGACAGAAATACCTCCCCCAAATTCATCCACGGAGCCCCCTAACCTTCCCCCCGGGACACCCACCACCCTTCTCAGTGCCTGCTTTTGTAGACNATAGTCGTGACCGCCTCGTCGAGATACGTCGATAGCTGCAGAGTTTTTTATGCAATTTTTTTGGCGAAAATCATCCACAGAGCCCCATAGACAGAAATACCTCCCCCAAATTCATCCACGGAGCCCCCTAACCTTCCCCCCGGGACGCCCACCACCCTTCTCAGTGCCTGCTTTTGTACACTACGGACACCACATGATTGGATTTGTACAGATAGCACGAAGAAAAGTTGGTCGACGACACCCATTAGCTTCCAAATTTTCCAAATATATTGGAGCATCACAACAAACCCAGCAGCTGCAGGACCTACAAGGCCAACTACAAGGGAGAAGCAGCAGCGGAGGGTACTTGGATAGCGGCANACAGGGCCAACTACAAGGGAGAAGCAGCGGCGGAGGGTACTTGGATAGCGGCAGGGCCATGGCGGACCGCAGGAAACGCGGCGCGCCTCTTGGTTCGTCGTGTGCTGGCCCACCGAGCCAACGATTCAGGCGTGCATCCGGTCGCCAAGAGCTGGTGCGGCAGATGAAAGCAGCTGCTGCTGCGGTGATTCTGGTGCTGAGCGCGGCGGCAGTGGTCACCTCTGTAGCTGTGCACGCTAGCGCTAACAAGACGCGTGCGGCTATCCACGAGCCACGGCGCCTGGTTTGGGAGGATCACGCAGCTGACCTAAAGAAGCGGAAGCTCTTCCGGAGGATGTATCGCATGGAGGAACCGGTGTTCAACAAACTGGCTGGGTTGCTGGAACCGATCCTCCAACGGAACGACTACTACGCAAGTGAGAATAGAGAGAGGGCGGGAGTAAGAGATGAGGGGGCGGGGGGGCAGGGAGAGAGAGAGAGAGTGTGATTGACGTACGAGGCGCGAAACTCATGCCGTGGTGTTTTTCCCGTCCTTCCGTTTGTTGCTGATGCTGAAGTGTAGCATTGAAGAAGCCCACGGTTGGTGTATTGGTTAACAGCAGTGTATACTACTGCTGTAGGAACAAGGCGAATCATCCCGCAGCACCACCGCCCGCACTCTCACACCAGCAGGACGGTTTACACCAGCAGGACGGTGACCTCCGGTGTCTGACTAGGGTTAGGGTAACAGTTTCACCGCCCAGCACTTGCTATTTTCGTCTGCTGATACGTTCACGCTATGCTTATTTTGTGCTTCATGCGAAACAGGAAAACGGTGTCGACGCGGTGCTGTTCCCACGAAGATCCGACTATTTAGCTATCGGCTTGCGGATGATGGCCGGTGCTTCGTATCTCGATGTCGCCGTGCTGTTCGGCGTGTCCAAGGAGACGGTCTTCAGCATCTTGTGGCAGGTGGTGGATGCCATCAACAGCACAGCAGAGGTTGGGCCGTTCTTTTTTCCGCAGAGCGAGGATGAGTGCACCCGGCAGGCGGCAGAATGGGAGGTGCGGAAATGATACACTAGTTTACAGCAGCAGGGTAGATTGTATGTTTGCATTCCAGGTTGGTGACGATGATGTTGTGAACGAACACATGATCGTGTTTGGTGGCGGTTTAGTTTCAACATTACTTCGAATATAAAGTACAGTATGCGGACAGACGTACGTGCGAACATGGCCAAGAACAGGCAAGGCGGCGAAAATGGACAGACAGGTGTTGTGCTTTGGTATGCCTACCGGGTCTGGTGTCGGAAGAGCAGTTCAATTTCACCTTTTCCGTAGGCTGCAGGCCTCCTAACGTGTATGGTACATAAGCAAGGCACCACGCTGCAGAGTCTGGCCCAAAACAAATGACGCGGATTGCATGGATGCATGCATGTCGGTCCTCC